TAAATGTTTAACTCAAATTCAAGCTCATCTGTATCTGGAAACCCTAACTTAGATCTGAATATAGATTTAATTCAGTAGAACAGATTTGCACTATAGTCACAACACCATACACAAATCACTGAAGTACCTAAGTACATGGTTTCAGACAAAGAATTCTGAAGTACATCCGTGATAAGAATAATTACAATTTCAGTCGTGTCTTTCAATGTTATCCTTAGTATTTGAAAGGCCATAGAAATAAGGTTGGTAATAGCCTTCGACGGCATATTATGTATCCAATATATGTCTCTTACACTGGTCTCTTACACTTACACTGGTCTCTTACACTGACGCTGGTCTCTTACACTGACGCTGGTCTGTTACACTGACGCTGGTCTCTTACACTGACGCTGGACATGCTTAAGGTATTGCTAAGACCATGTCATGTTAAGGTAACGGTCAATGTCCATTTTCACATACGATTTTGATTTCTTAGCGTTAAAACTAATGTTCATATGAGGAAAACAGATAATAAGCGTTGTTAGTGTTGCATTAACAACAATAATCGCTATGAGATATTTAACTTACTAGGTTACAAATAAACAATTTTACAAACACTACGGTCATCTACGAAAAGTCAAATACGTTCTAACAGATGGCCCCGGGATCCGGCCTGCAACCGGAAACTAGTAATGGAACATAAATTCGCAGCACAAGGTTTCCCCAACTTTAAACAAGAACGACAAACCCATGCTTCTTGGATTTGCTCCATGGTCCGACAACGCCCACCTGAATACAACATTTAATGAATCTAAAATAAAAATATAATGACTTTTCGCTTCTGCCAATTTAAACATCTGCAAATTACTGATCGCGATTCCGTTATACAGTCAAACCTTTTTAATAAGATACAACCCGTTGAAGTCCAAAATGCGGTCTCTTAACGCAGGTGGTCTTTTTATACAGGTGAATGAAATCCTTGCAGTGAGGAAGGATCATCAAAAGTGATATCACAACACAGGTTTTGTTTTAATGGAGACGGTCATGCGAGAACAATGACGAAGATGCATCGGATTGGAAGAAAAATGCGTAGAAAAGAACGTCAAAAATATTGAACTCAAACTCATATTGCCATTATGTCACACTTTGGGAACAGTAAATCCTTATACTGCAACTGATTTTGATACAGTGTGGTACAGATATCTCTCATGATCCATTTTTATTGTCGTTGTATGAAAAATTAGTGTCGAATCCTCAACGTTTAATGCCAATAAGTGAACTGTAGGCGTCGCTACTGCAAACGATTGATGACCATAGGTTAAGATGCTGCAATCAATGCTGAATGTCATTATGTAAGCATTATGTTTTCACCTGTACGACCTTGAACTAAAGCAAAATGGGCACTTTGGGGATAATTAGACATTCTGATTTACTGTATCTTATATTGTTGGACCAGAATATTAACAGTTTAATGGGAAGGTTAACTTAAGGATGTACTCTTCTGAGGTTTCAGTCACGTTCAAGTCTCGTTTTGATCTGGTGTAACGTGTTTTTGTAATATTTAACAAATTAAGATAGGTATAATAGCAAACACACATCTGAAAAACATGTAAAAAAAACTAGATGTCTGTTGGCGGCCATTTTGAAAAAGTGTATTTATGTGAATTCTGGCCTTCAACAAGGGCCAAAATTTCACCTTTTTTGACACTAGATTGATCACTTAAATTGTCATTGTGTCACCATTTTTAACTGTAGCAGGTTCAATTTTGCTGTACATTTTTATAATGTTAATTATGGTTAAAATAATATGCAAAAAAGTGTAAAGTTATATATTATTGATATAATTTTTTACATATTAGGGTAACTGAAGCACTTTTGATTTTTGACCTCGAAAAAGGTGAAAAATAACACAAATAGTAATGGGACAAAAAAAGAAGCACACCGACTCCCCATTTTTGTGGCTGTTTTAGAAAGAGAAACACATTTTCTTTTGATTCATTGAATACTAAAAAAAGTTTGATACAGGATTTTTTTTTATATCAAGCGTTTAATCTGCAAAAAAAGGTGAAAAATGTGCATTTTTTCATTAAAAAATAAGGGGTAGGGGTAACTAAAATCGCATTTCTGAGTAAAATGAAAATAATATTTTTATCAATTCTACAAACATTCATACATATCTGATAACACACTTGGAGAAATTGTATGAATTTGTTCTGCAAATGTTCAAAACCCGAAAATTCACCTAAAATCACATATTGTGTTAAATTGGTATCTTTGGCCGATCATAGCACAAAAACGAGCACACGGACATTTTTGCATTTTCTACTATGCCATTAACTCCTTTTTCCAAAAATCAAGATAAGAAAAAAAGTTTAATACAGGAATATTTTGACTTCTCAGAGGTGTACATCCTTAACATGTTTTGGTATCCGTGAGTCATTGACTATAAAACTTGGAATGCAAATGTCACGTTTTTCTCATCATGTTTACCTTGTAATGAGGAGACAGTTCAATTAAATCCTTAAAACTGACATGTGTAAATGGCCAAGCCACTTATTCATACATTAACATGTTCTGTAGTCTTGTTAGTGATATACTGAAATATTAACAATTATCTGTATTTATCATCCAAATATTTATCCTTTAAGAGCCCGGTTCTTCAGCCCCATAAGGACACATGGTATTAAAACATTTATATCAAATGTATTATTTTCCCTTGTTGATCTTATGTTCCCAAAATCATTGATTATGACCTCGTCCAGCTTTTAAAATGTAAAATCGTCCGAATTGCTCCCTATTTATCCCGTCATTTCTGCATCCTAGGGACAATTACCATAATTAACTCTAAATGCCATTCCTCTTGTTCTTGTGATATCATAATCCGAATATAGGTAAAGTCGATCTCGTACATTTGTACTAAGGAAGGATTTTAACTGTTGAACACCCAAACGTCACGTTTTGGGTCCTTGACATCAGGTCTCTTCGTTTATACAATGCTTAGTTATCTGATGTTGCCTAACGATTATGGCTGAAAACTGACCATCAGTTCATTGTTACGGTACATGTATAAAGGGAAAATTGGCCAGCGGACGGTCACACTGCTGACCGATGGAGGCCGCGCTAATGCATCAGCGCAGGTGAGCTAATAATAATTTATCATTTTAGAGTATGGGACACCTATTTCCCAACTCGACTTATTGGTATTCATAACAGTGTATCTTAGGCCGTGAGAGGTCGGTAAGTGTAAAACTGTTTCTTTTTGATAAGTTTAGCGAACATTCCCATATTAACAAAAAACGGTTGTTTATTGTGATTGTATCGACACTCCAACACCTATCTATCACAAAACCATGAAACGAACAGTAGACGTTAGCAAATCGACGCTTAATGATGCTTCATTGCAGACTGTTCATATGAACAATAAACGTTATCATGTGAACATTATGCGATTTTACCGACATGTCTCTCCTGTTATGATTTTTGGGAAGTCACTAGTATAGAATATTATACAAGAGGCCCATGGGCCTTATCGGTCACCTGATGTATGATATGTATACTGTTAGATGAATCATGATGTTTTGTTTTGTTTTTAATTTAAGATTTAACACATGTAACACATGTGACTTGGCAGCACTTCACCTCAGCATGCTACTGGCCCAGTATCATGACTCTGAGCCTCTTGGTTATTGAGAAGAAGACAAATATGTAAACCGTCCCAGGTGACCTAAAAATATCAAAGCTGTGGCTATTTCCTTTTGGCAGAAGAAGATTTTTGTAGCTCAATATCCATGACAGCCTATGTATGACGTTGGCCTTTTGGCTTGGCCAAAATTCTGACCCCAGGGGTCTGATTTGTACAAACTTATATCCTCACCATTAGTGTATGCTAAAAGTAAAATATCTAAGCTGTGGCTATTTCCTTTTGGCAGAAGAAGGTATTTGTAGCTCAATATTTCATTTGTACAAACTTGAATCTTCACCCCTAGGGCTTGCTCAAAAGTGAAATATAAATCCTGCTGCCATTCTCAGTCTTAAGAAGAAGATTTTTAAAGATTTAGTCAAATTTCCCATTTTGGGCCCCGCCCCTCAGCCCCAAGGTCGTCCAGCAATTTCCCTTGAACACACTTGAACCCTCATCCCCCAAAGATACTTCAGACCAAATTTGGTCAAAATCTGTGCATTGGTTCTGAAGTCGAAAATGTAAATTGTTTACGGACGCACGACAGACGACGCACGACGACAGACAAAAGGTGATTGCAATAGGTCAGAAATAACAAGTATTATTGTTTTAGGATATCATCTTAGCCAATTCGAAGACAATTGGACACATCGGTGTATAACGCTCGAAGATAATGCGATATCGCCAGTTTATTAACAAGTTTGAGTTATAGCTCCAACAAGTACTTGCTTTGGACCAAGGACACCATGCACCTTGGCTAAAGAGAGCCTTTCCTACCTGTTGATTTCTCTCTATGTTTCAGGCTCTGACAGCAGTCGGTGCGCCCTCTGTTCCCGGCGTGTATCAATAAGCCGTGGCATTAGAACATATTATCTCACACGTGCGCTGACTGGCGGGAAGATCTGCGGCACGCGCTCAGCCTGTCAATCACGTCGTCATGAGGGTGGAGTGCCACTTAAGGGGTGGGGAGCATCACTGACCCCAAACTCACATCTGCTGAAGCAATTGAGGCAACATTTCAAAAGCTACATTTTCTGTTCATTTGTGAGGTTTTTTCCAAACCATGTCAAACAACCTACATCAGTGATTTTACTTTTATACGTGACAGGCACATTTGATCAAACTATTAACACTGTTGGTGTGAAGAGTGGTAGGGAATACACTGCTTATGAAGTCCTGACCGGATAACATACCTGGTCAACAAAGAACTCACACCTTGGTTATTTGTTAATATTGATTGATTATTACCTTTAAATCGGTATCATTGGTGTGTATGTCTACAAAAAGGATATGACAACGCCGTTATAATCTTGCCGATTTCTGCACGTACATTCACGATATTTTGGATATTTGTGATTTGAAAATGATTCCAGTATCTTTGAAGATGTTAATCGTCTGCTTTTCAGGTAAGTTGTTATTTTTTTCATTATTATGCTTTAACCTCTCACCCGGTAGCGTGTTTGCACGTTCTATGTGACATATCACGCGCTGATACAGTGTACATGGGCAGTATTTACGATCACAATTACTTTTCATTGATGAGTTAAGAATTATTTTCACTATTATTTAATGTCACTGTTTCGATTTTTTACTTTTAACTGATTTTATTACCCTATTAAAGTGAACGAGGGATTGGGCACAAGCTATTTCAATTTATCACATTGTTTCGATAATACAGTAAGTGAGTGTTTTTAAAATTAATATACGTATCTGAATTTGAAAATAAACACAATAAAAGGTGAACTGGTTTATGAACGCATCGAGAAAAAAGGCTAATAACGATGGTTGTCCATGAAAATATTGTTAGTCATTTAGCAAGGTAATAAATAAGGAATGCTTTGGATTATTTCGAGCCCCGGGTTTATATTTATATCGTTTGAGCGTGCGGTCTTATCAGGAGAATGATACACATGAGATGTTCACCTAATGTTACAAAATGGAAGATGACCTTGTGAAGGCGAGTTTCTGAATTATTCAAAGTTCGTGTTTCTGAGAATAGATTATTTCGTAAGGAATGGAGTTTTAATATTGAATTCTTATTTTAATACTGGTGGATATATGCCGACTTTAAGCTTACCCCAACACTAGGTTTGGGCCTGATCTAGTATCATTGTCATTGATTTCCTTGGTAGTCTAAGATGTGTCATTTAATGAGTTATTGATGTTAGTGTAGATGTTGATGTTCGCAGTGATTAACGAGGTACACGATGTACCTATAAACCTGTACAAATACCAGGGGGAATCAAAGGTCAAAGAGGAGAGGTTACACAAGGGGAGGAAATACAAGGAACGATACCACAAAGTAAAGTAACTCAAGGGGAGTTAAAATAAGGGGCGGTAACAATATAAGTGAGGAACACCAGGGGGTAAAAACGAGGGGAGGTAACACAGTGTCCATACATGCAAGGGGAGTTAAAAGAAGGGAAGGTAACAATATAAGTGAAGTAACACAGGGGAAGTAAAAAAGAGTGGAGATGAAACCGAGTGAATTAACGGAAGGGGAGTTAAAAGTATGGCAAAGTAAAGTAACAATAGGGGAGGTAAAACACGTCGAAAGATGAAACTAGTGGTGATAACGCAAAGTTGTTACTGGGGGAGGTATTTCAAGGGAGACAACAAAAGGTTAAGCATCATAAGGGAGTATAACTGAAAACCAGTGGAGGTATCAGAAGGCACGTCGCAGAAGGTATAATTTTACTTATCTGTTAAGACGAATCATTATAGCGTCAATGTCAGGTTTAAGTTATTATTATCTGAGAATATTTGATAAAACATATGTAGAACATTAAAGTCTTGCATAGAACCACGTATTCTGTGTACAGATTCGTGACGAACAACGCATATGAACGTTTCCGACTCACACGCACACGCAGCCTACCGACCAGTTTGTGAGTTGCACAGTCTTAAAGGTTTTCTATAAGTTTCACATTAAACAGACAACATCATGAAACCTCACTTTCGAGGTAAAGCCTCCGATTTTCATGAAATTGACGTTGAGCGTTTTCTAAAGTACCACACCTTCCGGTTTTGTCGTTTAATTGGTTTCGTGTTCAGCCTTCTATCAACTGAGGTTGGGGTGGCTAGTTTGAAAAGTATTTTTCTACTTAAAAAAATGTATAATCAGCTTTCATTTAAAAAATTAAACAGGAAGTAATCACTTTTAAAAGTACTGTAGTCTTTTAATGATCGACATAGGCCTCTTCGTTACATCGTAAATGTGCGTGAACCGCTCGAACAGAGCAAACCATGCCTGCAGAATCATTCAATATTCTTATGCAAATATTCTTAAATGAATTTTATTTTTTTCGCGTTTTCTAAATGGATCATATCATTTGTATAAAAGATACCATATAAATAATTAATTAGTTAATTAATGACTAAATGCTGATACTCATCATATAACTTAACAAACGATAATCAAACAAACGGGCAAAACAACATGTTTTTAATTAGCTGAATTCGGCAACGTCCTGTCACGGTCTATCGAGTAATTAAACTTTGGTAAGATCAAACAGTCGGTTTATCGTGTATATTTGAGCCATGATAAGATCAAACAGTCGGTTTATCGTGTATATTTGAGCCATGATAAGACCAAACAGTCGGTTTATCAGGTAGTTGAGTCTTAGTCGGTTTATCGGGATATTGAGACATACTAAGATCAAACAGCCGGTTTATCGGCTAGTTGAGCCACGATAAGATCAAACAGTCGGTTTATCGGGTAGTTGAGTCTTGGTAAGATTAAACATTCGGCTCATCGGGTAGTTGAGCCTTGATAAGATAAGACAGTCGGTTTATCGGGTAGTTGAGCCATGATAAGATCAAACAGTCGGTTTATCAGGGTTGAGTCTTGGTAATTTCATACAGTCGGTTTATCGGTTAGTTGAGTCATAATAAGATCAAACAATCGGTTTATCGGGTAGTTGAGCTACGATATGATCAAACAGTCGGTTTATCGGGTAGTTGAGTCTTGATAAGATCAAACAGTCGGTTTATCGGGTACATTATACACAGCCTAGCGGAGCCTACATACAAAATGTATAAAGCCGTAAAGTGATCCCGGCAGACTTAAGGTGACGACTGATGTAAATACTGTAAATCCATCATCACGTTCCGGTTTTACGTAGAAAATAGTAACCAATGATTACAAAACCAGAAATAGCGTACTTTACGTTTAGGTCTTTGTCTTTAATCATAAGGAATTATGCCATTTCGACCATGCGGACGACCAGAAATAAGCCGGAAGCAAAACTAGTGTTTTGATGAATAAATAAAGAATATAGATTTTTTCCCCCTCACTCAAGCGTGCACAATATCGGGTGAAGGCAGGTAAACAGGTGAGAACAGGTGTGCTGAACCTCATCATTGTAAGTCTGATCGACGGTCTGGAACACACTGATTCTGAAGTCTACAAGGTACAGCAATAACACAAGAGCATATCAATTTCCGGTGATCCGGAAACGAGGCCATATGAGTCGGAATACTGTGGGTGGGAATTGAGCACACGAACAATAAAACTGTACTTTGAAAATCACGGTCTGTAGAAATATACGAGGGCTTTATATCCAGGCGGTTTATTATCAGTGCTGAGCGAAAGTAATGTCAATTTATACGAATGTATTTATATATGATGTTATATTGCTATTTTGTTCTTCACTTGGACAGGGCATGTGCGAAAAGTACTGGTAGCGAACGGAAAATTTCAAATTGAAAGATAAATACCTAAGATTTGATTTTACCTTGAATTCACTATCATTTAAAACATCTATGCCCAGTATTTTCGAAATGTTCAGTTTCTGCTTCGATTTTTTTTTCTTTTTTCTGGTTGTTTGAGAGCCCGAAGGTTTCCTTCATAAAAAAGTAATGTTTTTTTTAAAGCTTCTCAGATGTATGGTGAACGTTGGTGGACAAAGTAAATTGATCTAATTTAGGGTTTGGTACATGTAACATTCAAGAGGAGTTTGCATTGAGAACATTTGTTTGTTTATATTGCAGAAATATAAATTTAACTGTTTTATAATGGTTATGAAACGCACTAAACCCATAAAGCATTTTTTTTTTTTAAATACAGTTTTGTACTTTTGAAAGTTCTAAGGAATTTACCAAGAAAACTAAATAATGACAAATTTCACATCCCTCAAACTTATGCTGCATTTTTCTGTAATATTATTGTTATGGCAAGTGGTATCTGTGTCGCGTGGTGGGTTGATATGTGCTGACTGGACGCGCCAGAGTCACACACCTCGACACGCGCAATACGTGCTTGACATGCTATAGATAGAAATATGTTATCAGAGTTAGAGAAACAAATCAACTCTAGCTAAAAGCTTTGTCAATCGAGAGCTCGTCCTTATGAGGCTTCTCTCTGCCGCCACCAGAAACATGAACATATGTGTCATTTCTTTTTACAATCTTTCGTAACTTGACAAAATGGAACCGTAGACATTTCTGTTAATTCTGTTTATATTTGAAACTGTCTGAATTACACGGTCAAACAACTGTTTATGAAATTGCTGGTTCATCAATTGACTGTCGTGTTATTTTTTAAATGGCGCTTTAATATGGACCCATGGCAAGGGCTGAAACATTATCTTCTATATGTGTGAAAGTTTAACAATGGGTCTCTGACCGCAATCCTTTCACCCAGAGAGTCAGTGCTTGGTTATACGGTTTCACCCAGAGAGTCCCAGAGAGTCAGTGCTTGGTTATACGGTTTCACCCAGAGAGTCAGTGCTTGGTTATACGGTTTCGCCCAGAGAGTCAGTGCTTGGTTATACGGTTTCGCCCAGAGAGTCAGTGCTTGGTTATACGGTTTCACCCAGAGAGTCAGTGCTTGGTTAAACGGTTTCACCCAGATAGTCAGTGCTTGGCTATACGGTTTCACCCAGAGAGTCAGTGCTTGGTTATACGGTTTCACCCAGAGAGTCAGTGCTTGGTAATACGTTTTCGCCCAGAGAGTCAGTGCTTGGTTATACGGTTTCACCCAGAGAGTCAGTGCTTGGTTATACGGTTTCCAAAGCTCAAAATGTTCCACTGCTGTAACAGTAAAAACAGAAACTGCATACTTTTGCATAGGAAAACAAACTTGCAATGTCAACGTAAATCTATCTTGTTTCGAAAACATGAGCTACATGTAATACGTCTTCTTTAAAGGAATTGCTTTATTCACTATAGACCTTGGTACCAAACCCTTACCTAATGACATCGTTACTATTTGTAGTTTTTATCATTGTCGCGTATCTAGTTCGGGAAGAGCCTTGCTTTTTGGAGTGTTAACAGAGCGTGTCGGTTCCATCTGACTGGTGATCAGACAGACAAAACACGTGTCGATGTTTATTGCTCAGCCTCCCCATGCCACCCAAACACGTGTTCCTCCGAAATCTACAATTACAACACAGAATACACCGAC